GTCAGAGTTCCCCATCGTCTGCCACAATCCGCATGCAATGTCCACTTGTGAAGCTCATGTCGCATCAACCAATTATATGCTCTTTTGTCTAACTGCCGGATCGATTCCACACACCTCCTGAATTTGCACTGCTGGTGATCAGTTGCATCTATCCACATTAAATCATGCAAGTCCTTATTGGGATATTTCTTCTGGAAATTGGCCTTCAGGTTCCTCACACAGTAACGGTGGTATGCATAGGGTTCCTGCCATTCATGCAAATGCTCCACAGAACTTAATATACCACCATGCCGATCAGATATTAGACAAATACCTGAACGTTGTTTGACAACGTGCTGCTTCAAGTGGTTCAAAAATAGCGTCCATATCTCTTGACTTTCATTGGCTCAGATGGAAAAAGCTAGTGGAAATATTTGTCCGTTGGCATCTACTGCAACGACGATCAACAGCTCAATATCATGCTTTCCATAGACATGAGTACCGTCCGTGGAAATTGTCGGACGACAATGCACAAAACCATCAATTGCTGGTTTAAATGCTCAGAACACGTATCTGAATTTATATTCCGGTATTCCTGCACTCCGCTCAAGCTTCCATTCAACAACAGTCCCGGGGTTAAAGTGTTCAATTGCGGCCATGTACCTGGGTAGAGATGCAAATGACTTATCCCAGTCACCATAAACAATTTCAAATGCACGTTTGCGCCCGAGATATGCCTTTCTTTTGGTAATAGTACACCCATATTCCTGGTGGACGCATGTAATACACTCTTTGATCTTGTACCTAATGGACACTTCAATGTGTGGAATCAGTTGAAGAGAAACCAAGTCAACACACAAGTTGAAGTGATTCCCGTTGAATGTGTCTATTTCACAATTGTGGGTGCCAATATATTTACCCACTTTCCGCAACCCTGTTTCCTTCTTGGTCGCACGCAGCATCCAATGACAACCCGTATACCATTTACGGTAAACAACCTTGTATACCTCTGGACTTGACTCCCATACTATCATCTCACAACACTCTCTTATGTTATACATTTTTGCAGCCCTAGTTAGGCGAGCTTTATCGGGAAAAAACATGCCCTTTGCCAGCACCGTTGGTCTAGACTCATCCCACATTGCTATTCGAATTTCGTCAAGATCCCTTGTGAGGGCATCCACATCCGGCATACATGGCAAATTATTAAGGTAGGGAATATGCCTTGAATGAAACGACACGTGGGACTCGTACACTCTTGGTCTAACGGGAGGTGGAGCATGCTCCCTCGTCAGCTCAGGTTCGACATTTTCTTCCTCTTCATCATCACCCTCATCAGGGAAGGGTGTGACATCTCCAGACTCATCGACATTGTTGTCATAATCACGATTATCTTCCTAACTCTGCGTATCAGCCAAATCCCGAGTAAATACGTCGTCTATGGGCAAGTGAGTGAGGTCAGGTCCATCAAGTTGCTCGTTTTTACTGCACAAACAACAAAATAATAAGCTACTCAAATTGATAAATACTTTACATATAGCTATATCACTTCACTTACAAGTCGTAATGTGTTGACATTTTATGATGGACATTATCCTGTTGGTGATGACTCCTGGATGGACCACCGTGATCCAACACACAAAAATTACGCATATTCCAACTGGGCGTGGGTTCATAACTTGTAAAATTCATATCTGGACGGTACCCCCTATGGAATATATGAGTGATAATACAAATTCAATACAACAAAAATAAACATCGTAACATAAAGGAAGGTTGAAGTTTACCAGTCGTCTTGTGGATTATGTAAAGTAGAAAATTATTTTCTCGCTCCTCGTTTGCCCGTGGAGATAACTTTAGATCCGGCCAAACTCTTTCAGCCGGAACCTGTTGGGCTAAAACTGCTCTAGAATAACTACCCGATGATTGAGGGTTATCTCTGCTTTGCGCAACATTATTATTGCTAACGTCTTCAACATTGACGTACATTTCTAATATTTTTATCAAAATAAGTTCCCGGTACTCATTCAGAGTCCCCAAAAAATCTCTCAGAGTTTCATCATCCTCGATGTTAAACTCAGCGTAACAAGCAACCCCTTGCGGAGTAACAGAATACGGATATCTTCCAGTTATTTTAAGATTCACTGAACGTTTGCTCAACCTCATTTTATTGCATAACAACGATACCAGTCTATCGTACTCCATTGTAAGTGGCAACTTAACATGACTCTGTGGAGATAAACTATAGCTCACTGAGTTATTCGCCACCGCAACCTCACCCCCCCAATATAATAAAACCCTTACTTTTCGCTCTTCAGACATTATGAAAAAAGCTTGAGAATTTAACAACAAGAAAAATTTATCACGAAGTTGAAGTATTTCTAAATGATTTTTCTCAAAACCCTTAATTCCTTTAAATAAGGCAATGCCCAATCGGGGGGGTGGGGGGGGGGGGTCGAATTTTTGGAAGTAAAACGCAATTTAAAAGGGCGTTTTACATATTTGAATTATTGTTATGTCAGTTAAGCCTAGAAGAGTTATTGGTGGGTCCACAAAACATGTAAAACGTGATATTTAAAGGCGTTTTTGATGTAAAACGTGATATTAAACCACGTTTTATGTAAAACGCAGTAAGTTTGAGTCCAAAGAGACAACATCTCGGTTCGGGACTCCCTCTTTTTATGCCATATAATAGAAATACTTTGACCAATAACTTCAGAGGACAGAATTTAACAGAATTTAGAAATTGCCAGAAATTGCTGCACTCAAATTAGGAAACAAGGACCATTTTCATTGACTTTCTGTTTGCATAAATGCATGAAAACTTCCAATGCATAATAGCTCATCAAGAAAGGATTAGAAGGGAACCTTGGCATAACAGGTAAAGTTGTTGCCATGTGATTAGGAGTTTACGGGTTTGAACCTTGGAAACAGCCTATTGCAGGAATGCACGGTAAAGCTACCTGCAATAGACCCTTGTGGTCCGGCCCTTTCCGTACCCGGCGCATCGCGGGAGCTTAGTGCACCTTGTTGCCCCTCCATAGAAAGATTACCTTTCTCTGTTCTTAGTCGAAGAATGAAAAAGAAAAGATATTTATAATTAATGCTAAGTAAATAAGTAAGGAAAAGGGATAAAAAGAAAAAAAAAAAGGAACTTTCACATGATATTCCCTCCAAAAAAGCACAGAATAAAAACAAGCTAGCTACCTCATTCTTGAGTGCATTGTCTGTATAACTAGTTTTTCTGCTAGAAACTATGGTGTCTTCTCTCCGATTCAAGATTCCACTGCCATTCTGTTCTTTTGTTTTCTATCTAACTCTCTTACCATGCATGTTCACTTTTTCCTTGAAATTACATAGTGGTAATGAAACTGATTTTCAAGCCTTAGTTGCCATTAAAGCAGAGATAACTAATGACCCTCTGGTATTTTCACCACATGGAATGATTCAGTCCATTTCTGTAGCTGGACAGGTATCACTTGTGGTCATCTTCACCAAAGAGTCACTAAACTGAAATTAACATCATTTGACTTAGTAGGTACATTTTCACCTTATATAGGAAATCTTACTTTCCTCACTGGTCTTAATCTTGAGCTCAACAATTTCCATGGAAAAATCCCACCACAAGTTGGAGGTTTGTTCAGGCTTCAGCATCTTAGTTTGACTAATAACTCATTTTCTGGGAGATACCGATGAATCTTTCTCGTTGTTCGAATCTTGTTAAGCTTCGTTTTGGTTGGAACCAATTGATTGGAAATATTCCATTTCAGTTTGGTTCATTGCAAAAGCTTGAAAGATTCCAAGTTCATTAGAACAACCTCAGTGGACTCATCCCAGAAACCTTAGGTAATCTTTCCTCAATCAAATCCCTTTCTTTAGCAGCTAACAATTTGGATGGAACTATTCCTAGTTCTCTTGGCCAATTGAAAAGTTTGAATTTTCTCGGTTTGGGTATAAATAAATTATCTGGTGTGGTGCCTGCTGCAATTTTCAATATTTCGTCTCTTGAGATATTCACAGTTCGATATAATCAGTTGTATGGAACTTTGCCATCAGACATAGGTTTTAGTCTTCCCAATTTAAAAGTTCTAAATATTGGTCATAATTGGTTTACTGGACACTTTCCTAAGTCATTATCTAATGCTTCAAATCTTGTCGAACTTGATGCAAATGGTAGCAATTTCACTGGTAAAGTGTCGATTGACTTTTGGGGATTATCGAATCTTTGGTGGCTGATTCTTGCATCAAATTCCATTGGAAATGGAGAAGTTGATGACTTGAGTTTTTGCAATTCTGCAGAAACTTGAAAGTAGTGGATTTGAGTGATTGCCAATTTGGAGGTGTGCAACCTGCAAATTTATCGACAAATCTTGTGTCACCAAGATTGGGAGGTAATCATTATTTGGAAGTATTCATTCCCCGGAATAGGAAATCTTGTTAGCTTAACTGAATTGCAATTCAACAAGAATAATTTTTCTGGTAGCATTCCTGAAGTTGTTGGCGATCTTTAGTTGATTTATCTGAAAACAAGCTTTCGGCAAGTATTCCATCTTCTATATCTAACATGACTAGGCTATATTCACTTCATCTTGAAAAGAATGAGTTAACTGGCAATTTTGGCAACTTTCAATACTTGCAAGATTTAGGCCTACCATCTAAGTGGTAACATACCAAATGGAGTTATGAGCTTGTCGTCCTTAACAGTTTCAAGATTCTTCACAGTTGAAATAGATCTTTATAATTGTTCTTGTTAAATGGTTTAGTAAAGTAGTATATATACTTGATCTTCTTGAGATATGAGAGAGAGTTTTAAGATTTGACTTTTACAAATTTCAAGTGTTTCAGCAAAGGTGCCTCATTTTTTCCATTCCATCTTTCTTAGGTCCTTTTCATTTTTGGCCCACATGTATATTATATGTATATTTGCGCTTAATATACAAAACATATACACATTGCTAGCTATAGGGCGGCCCAAAAATGTAATTATCCTTTTTTCTTTTCTTATGCAAGCAGAGTACAGCATGGGAGGTAAGGCTTCTCCATTTGGTGATGTTTACAGCTATGGGATCCTCTTGCTAGAGATGTTTACTGGAAAGAGACCTACCGACAACATGTTCAAAGATGGACCGACTCTTCATAATTTTGCTAAGATGGCGTTACCTGAAATAATTGATCAAATAGTTGACCCTATGCTTCTACCTAGCAGCAGCAGAGAAGGACAAGACGAAGAGGAAGGCATTATCGATCCAGATGATTCTAGTGTGAAACAAGCAGGCGAATGCTTGGTCTCAGTAATAGGAATTGGAGTTGAATGTTCAGTTGAATCTCCGAGAGAAAGGATGGATATTGGTGATGTTGTGAAGGAACTGCAACTAATTAGAGACATTCTCCTTGCTTCTCAGGCAATTCACAACTCAACAAGCGGGTAAATTTGTTCTACTAACTTTGTTTTCAACTGTGATTTGTCAAAACTGAGAGTTGATTGTTTCCAAAAGAAAGTGTCAAGATGCTCAAAAACAACATTTAGAAGTTAAATCTGCATAAAATTGTCTTCTTTTCAAGTAAGTTGAGTAATGCTTATTGGTTTAGCATATCCATAATATCATTACTATAAAATCTGCTAGTAAAAACTGAATAGCTTGTGCATAACACACTGTTTCGCTGCTAGATATTTGAGAAATTCTTAGAACAACCTCATTGATGGATTTTCGTTGTATTTTTCTATGATAAAGATAAAAAAATTATCCCTTTTTTCTTCTTGTTGATGGTTGTCTTTCTTTCCTCGGTTTCAGGAGCTTGAGATTTGAGGCTCTTCCAGTCGTTCTGTTACTACTAACTGGAAAAATTCTACATCATTTTGTCTACCTTGATATTTCTGGTGAAGAACTCGAGGGCAGGTGATTAGCGGAGCTGTTTTGCTTGCTCTTATATGAACTATTACCTTTGCAGATTGAACATTTTACTCGTCAGTTCAAATCATGTGTTTCTCGTAGAGAGTGTCGCATTGCAAACTGCCCTTGGATGACATTCTGATGAGACTTGGATATACAATGGCCTCAAGGTCTTATTTGGCCTAATGCTAGTTAGTTTAGCTGAGCTTAAACAAATGGAATTGGTATGTATGATGCCTAAAGTTCATTGTAGTTTGGAGGACCTCCACATAGTAGTTTAGGATTCCCTGAAATTGAAACTGCACTTTCATTTGGTACTTTGCCTTCAAGTTCATTGTTTCCATTCAATTCCAGTCCTTGTAGGTGTCGAAGCTTACCTAAAGACTCAGGAACACTGCCTCTGTCTGAAGTTGTTATTATCAAGGGATAAACGTGTCAAATTGACCAAATATTTCAAGTGGTAGTAAGAATTTTGGAAGAGAACCAAGTATCCTATTATAACCAAGACTTTCAAATATTTCAAGTCTCGTGGAAAGGTTACCGATGGTTTTAGGCAGTTGTCCGCCCAAGAAATTGTCCTCAAAGCGCAGCAGCAAACACCTCAAGGTTTGGAAGAGTAAGAGAGAAATAGTAAACAGAAGAGATATTGAAAACAGATTGAGGAATTGTACCATTCAACTGATATGGAAGATTTGCAAGCCGCGAATCCAAGAAGGGATATTTATTTTACCAACAAGCCTATTAATTATATTGTAGAGCAAGTGATCTAACTTGTTCAGATTTGAAGGAATGGTTCCAGTAAAAGAATTCCAAGTATGTTGCAGCTGAAGGAGGTTACCAATTTCCATTGGGACGAGTTTTTGTGATCTCATCATGACTCTTTCAATGGAGGGGTTGCATGTTAATTATGCCCGTCCAATTATTCCAACAAGTCATGTATCATTTGTTATTCTAACTTTCAAGTCTAACATCAGCTTTAAATTCCAAGCCTGAGATAGCCATAGACATAACAACAATTGAGCAATGGAAGTATGATAGTACTAACCATTTGGAATTCAGACAACTCTCTTCCATCTTTTGAAATCTGGAGAGCACATCACACAAAAATGAGAATTCTACTCCTATATATAATGCAATTAGCTTCTACCGGCCGGCCATTTTGTATTTTGCTCAATAAATTAAAAAATGTCATGGGTGGTTACGCATCCTTTTCAAATGATTAGATATGTCGTTTTTCAACATTAAATGCATAACTAAGATGTATTTAAGTCCATATCTTTGTTCAAGAAAAATAATATGACTAATTATATTGGTATAACATCATATAAACACATTTCCCTTTACTTCTCTTTTCTAATTTATTTAGCATTGTTGAATAATTAGTATGATAATCTAAAAGTTTTAGCCTACTCCTATTAGTTAAACTTTTTTCTTTTTAAAGCATAGATGCACCTTCCTACTCAATTAATATACTCCCTCCATTCACTTTTACTTGATATTGGTATGTATACTAAAAATAAATTTTTACTTTTATTTGTCACTTTATGCATATAAAGAGAAGACAAATTTATTTTTCCTGTTATACCCACAATATTTATTATTCATTTCAAATCATTTTTTCAAATCCAATAAAATATGCATCAATTAATATTGGTATCATGGTAAATTATGCACTTCATTATTATTTCTTAAGGGACGTGAAAAGTCAAAACGTACCAAGTAAAAGTGAACGGAGGAAGTACATTCCAGTTGAACAGAAAAAAAAAATCAATTTGTTTAAACAGACTGTCAAATACAAAGTAAAATAGATGTATAGCATTTGCAACTACATACATCTTTGTTACTAAGAGCAAATTGTCACTTTTTTTTCTTAACTGAAAAAAGAAAAAGTGTCTCCATCATACATAAGAAAATACTAAGTTAGTGATTTTGAAGAGATCAAGTTTTCGGTAAAAGCGGATTCATTCTTGTTTACCCTTAAAATGGATAACAATTGAATTTATATGCGGTTTTAAATATATGTGAATTGATTCAACACAAATAATTAAAACGTTAGATGAATGCGTTAGAGACACCATGAATAATCAAACCAGTCGTAACGTTATGGCCTAGCTTGAAGTTGGATTGGGCGATAGTTTTTGCCCTTGGTCGGGTCTTGGCTTCGAAGCCAATCAAGAACAAAGAACAAAATTAAAGTAAAGTCTTTTCAGTAGCAGAGAAATAATTTTGTATTGTCTTTGTATACGTGTTAACATGTCCCCTATCGAAATAAAAGCCTCCCCTTTATATAGTAGGAGAGTTTCATCCCTAGTACAATTCTGAAAAAGGTAAAAATCCTCTTTTCTTGTCAATTGCTGATCCACTATCGACGTCGGGCGAGATATGCGCCATGATGGGGCACGTATATCACGATCCTATGTCAACTGTGTGCAGCCGTTACCACGGTTTTCGTGGTCTCGTGGTTCGTTTTGAGTTCAGGGAGGTGTTGTCTTATCAGGCCCCGTGGTGAGCACTTCGTTTGGGCCCCAGTGCGAGAAGTTCCTAGCTTCGATTCCGATCTCATGTAGTCATATCCTAGCTTCCTTTGACCCATCGGGAAATCGGGGTATGCGTTAGCCCCGGTTTCACCAGTATATAGATAGTCTCCTCGTTTCTTAGAGAGTAGGTTTGCCGAAATGGCAAGAAATGATAAATGAACCCCGGTTCCTTCCTTCGTACGTTGCAACCGAGATGACGGATAAGCCGAAACGTCCCATCGATCGCATCGTTCTGGCTTCGGATACGTGTCGGCCATCGGCTGGTCGCCTTCGAATATGAATCGTCGCATATTGAATATATTTTTCCTATAAAAGCTTTGACCTTTTATACCTCTTTCACTTTCCGACCCTAGCTTTTACCTTCGAATTTTCCAACGGCTCTCAACTTTTTCCTATCTTCATCTTTGATCTTCAAATCTTTATACTTGTTCTTAGATTTCTACCCAGATCTCCATCCTAACTTCAAACCTTCATACTTTTTTCTTCAACCTCCATACTTGTTTCTTTAAACCTTCATACTTTTCCTTCAATTCTTCATACTTTTCCTTCAAATCTTCATACTTCCTAGGTTAAGTTGGCTAAAACTTCCAAATCAGTTCATTATCAGGATGCCCCTTCATCTTCCCACCCGGTCATAGATGCCGAGGTGGCCGCTCCCGATGAAAGCTTTATACCCGGGGGTTGTTCAATCGGCAATGGCTTCAAGGTTGAGAAGGCCTTCGCAAAACAAGACCGGGGCAAAGGAGCATGGAGATACATATGCTCAATTACTGAAGATACCCTTCCCATAGTCTGAGAGGACTATAAATGGGAAGGCAAAGACGTGGTTGTCCCCGATCCTGAGGACGATATTAATACCCATGTGAAGGGGTATTTAAGTGTTTACACTTACCCCTTCATGCTGGGCTCGATTGACCCAGTAGTCATGGCCTTTTGTAAGAGGTAAGAGGTGTGCCTCGGACAAATCCACCTATCCATTTGGAGGATCGTGATCCTCCAACGTTATTTTGTGAACAAAACTGAATCCCCTCGGTTCACCCTCGACCACCTACTCCGTCTTTATAGTCCCAAATTTTCTGAGAGGGACTAATAAAGCTTGTTCGCCGAGCCAGCAAGGCTCCATTTTCGAGCATCGACGAAGATCGAGACCGAGGTTGGCAGGGCTTTTTTTGAGTAAAAATTGAAGATCTGATCCCCTCCGAGTTCCTGCCATTCCTCGAGAAGTGGAATGCATCTCGTAAGTGTAGTCTTTCCTTAAGCGTCAACATTCCTTTTGGGACAACCCGGGGATGCCGCGGGCGAGAAGAAGAGTTAAATAAAATCCTCAGGTTCTCCAGACCCCGAGGTGAAGAAGACCAATTCCCGGGTACCGGACTCTGACTCACTTCGCCGTCTCAAGGATGAGTCTGAAGAAGACGATATCTTAGTTGCTCATGGATCGACCCCTGCCGTGGAGCAGGCGGCAACCAAGGAAATGAGCCACGAGGTCGATCCCCTTCTGACTCGAGAGGCCGAAGTGGAGACGGAGGCTGTTGTTACGCCCTGCAGTATTACATCGATATTAAGTCCCGCAATATAATATTACGATGATGTTACTCCCCGCAGTATTATATTAAGATAATGTTACGCCCTGCAGTATTACATTACGATGATGTCATGCTTCGTAGTATTATATTACGACGATGTTACACCCTGTAGTATTATACGTGAAATTGTCGTAAGATAATTGACCTCAGTTCTAGGACAAGATTATTTGGAGATTATAAGCATTATGCTATTTCAAACAAGTAATGAGTAAATTCATGAAGGTGAGAGGGTAAGCAAATCGAAGAAAATGAATTTTCGTCGAAGTTTGACATTTTGGGATAAAATACGGCTCGAGCTAAAATACTCTGTACTATGGACTAGTGTCATACAAGGTACAACATGACCATGATAGTAAGGTGTATAAGCTGTCTTTAAAGTGAGTAGTATTTGAAGTAATTTGAGATAATTCTTAATTATGTGGGTAACTGGTTAATTATTGGATTACTGGGAAATTAATAAGTTGATTAAAGGAAAGGGGTGAAAATTTGGATAAGTTTAAAGTGCATTAACGTGGCAGCACATAATGCCCACTTAGTGACTCTTAGTGTTATATGATGAGGTGGCAAGATTGGAGAAGTTAGGTGGCAAAGTCATCCTAAGTGGGTCCCACACCCACCAAATTTTAAAAAAGCCCCTCTAAATCACTTAAAGAGGTGTTGAATCTCTACAATATGAAGAATGGAGTCTTCAGCAAGTTCATTCAAGAACATGTATGAAAGCTTAATTCAAATATGCATATATCACATAAGCACGTAAGATCTTCAACAATTCAAAAAAAAAAAAACGTGAGATTTTGTAATTTTAAGGGAGTAGGGTGCAATCATTCTCAAGAATAATATACGAATTTTTCCCTGCTTCGATCTGTCATTACGTGTTGTCGCAATTGACGTGTGTTAGAGGGATTTTCAAGTGAATCAGCTCAGGTATGTTAAGCCTATCCCTTCTTTCTTTTTGGCATGATCTATACGATACAAACGAAATGAGCAAATGCACCACTTCCATAAATGAATCTATTCATAGAAATGCTAGAGATGCTTATGTTCTTGATTCCCCATATGTCTTATTATTCTGGTGTCTGTTCATGGGTCTCATACGTAAGTTGAAAAAAGTTTACATCATAATACTACTCAAAGGCATAATGGTCTTATGACATTCCGAGAGATTTCATTGACAAAATTTTCATGCATTTCATTCATTTATACATGTACATTGATCCATGACCAGATGGCGTTATATACGCATATATATGTATATTATATGTATATGGGATATGGGAAAAAATTACGGCATTATATACGCACCACCACCTGATCAACTGGTATACGTTGACGATTTTGCCCACAGTGGCCGAGATGATATGATGGGATGCCCTCAGAGGCTTGATGATGTTATGAGCACATGTACCTATGCATGACATGACATTCATACGCATATGCATGACACTATAAGTATTTCATGATTTGCAGAGTTATCTAGATTTGCATGTCGAGTCTTTTACTCCATGTTTCTCTCATGTCTATTATTTACTGATTTTCATTCCTTACATACTCAGTACATTATCTGTACTGACATCCCTTTTGCCTGGGGATGCTGCGTTTCATGCCCGAAGGCCCCAATAGACCAGTCGAGAGTCCTCTAACTAGGCTATCAGCTCAGCGAAAGATGTTGGTGCGCTCCATTTGCTCTGGAGTTGCTTGTATGGTCAGTATGATTTAGACGTGTAGTGTTTGGTATGGTGGGGCCCAGTCCCCACTTTTATGATAAGTATGTACTCTTAGAGCTTGTAGACAAATGTCATGTATATAGATACTTGTATGTCCTTGTCGGGCAATGTTTTGAGTTTACAAATGATCATGTTGGCCTTATAGGCCTATATGTCACATGTATAAGTT